CCCCAAAACCCCAAAACCCCAAAACCCCAAAACCCCAAAACCCCTTTTATTTGAAAATTATTGAATTAATTATCTTGAAGTTTTCATCCTGTACTTTCTATAGTAACTTCTTCTTGGCCTCTCATTCTGCTTAATAACGTTCCCGGGGTGAAGCATGTGAGACTGGAACACAACCAGACCAGATCCTGAAGAATTCCGACTGTATTTACTTGACTGCTGAAGAGTATTTGAAGATCCACAAGTCTTATGGTTCTTCTTGTGCTTACTCAAAGAACTTCTTTTGACAAATACTCTTTCCTTACTATTTTTAGACAAGCTTCTTTTAAAGCTCTGGTAAGAAGTACGTTCAGTACTTCTCTGATGAGTGAGCTCATCCAACTCTGAAGAATGTGCTCTAGATTTTCCTCCTCTGATTAACTTCTTGCGCTTAATCTTGCTCATCAAAGTTGATAGTACCTTCGAGCTAGATTTGACATTAAGCGATGTCTCTCTGCTCTTACTCGTTCCATGCTTCTTCATCGATTTAGAGGATCTTCTGACATTAATCCCAGTAATTTTCTTTGATGCTTTCTTGCTATAGTCATTATGACCACTGATTTTCTAGAACAACTTACTCGATTTGAATAGATTCTTTCTTAGTCTTCTTTTTCTTTTTCTGGACCTTCAGCTTGAGAGTGGGACTAGGGGAGATCTTCCTCTTCTCCCTTTGAGTCTTGTACCCCTTCTTGATGATCTTGTACTTTGCAGCCTTGCTAGCGTTTCTAAAGATATTAGTTTAGGATTTACCTTGAGTTATTCATTCCCACAATGTTCACAACTGAGCTTGCCGAGCAGTCACGGTTGTTTCGAGACTTTATACTCACTGTTGATTTTTGGGGGAGAGCATAGGTATTGTCAGAGTTGCTAGAGTGAGTCCTGAATTTGAAGTTCCCCTTGTTTGCAAGAGAGAAATTCAACTGACGCTTGCTTCTTCCTGTGAAATTCCCTTCATTCTTGTCAAGAATCAGGTCTTTTCTAAAACACCCTCCTTCAAAGAGATGGCTTGGAGTGGTAGACCTGAGTTTGGGGACAATAAGTTTTCCCTTACTCTTGCTAACATTTCTGGAGCCTGACAACTTGTTAAAAGTTTTAGTTAATCTCTGTTGTTCTTTATTTTTCCTCCACTGCTCTCTGTTCAGCTCCAAATCCTTAAATTTCATCGAAAGAGTTGAAACCCTCTGAGTTTTATGCATTTCCTTCTGTTTTGGATCATTAAAGCTTTTAAAAATTCCAAGTGGTTCTGACTTCTCACAGGATTCCTTAGAGGACTCCTCACTTGTAAATTTGGGAGAGATGATATAAGCAGTTGAGCCAGATCTCTGTCCTTCCGGGAGGTTAGAGCTTTTCATATATGCAACAGCTTCATTAACATCATCAAAATTTTCGGATGCTTCACAAGCTGAGTCAGAACTTATGTTCACGTTCTCTTCCTTTGTGTTTGAAGAGAAAGTGTGTGGGGAGATCTTGGAGCTTTCCAGTCTACTCCTAGTCATGTTAGATGATTTAGAGAAGCATCTGGAGTAACTACTTGAATCATGACTTTCCTTCAGTGGATTTTGCAGAGTTATGCTTTTATACTCAAATGGTTTATTGTTGTTCTCAGCAGTCACCATTGTTGATAATCAGAAGTCCTTCCCCATTTCTGGAGAATTATTTATAAAATTCTGACCAGATTTCTTCTTCAAAATCTCAGGGGTTTGGTTTATCAACACTGGAGATTTTTCCATATCCCTCTTTGGCTTGTATAATACTCTTTTGTCTTTGATTATTCTACTTTCATAAAGGATTTTTGAATTCCTTAACTCCTCAGTCTCATCAGCAGGTAACTGGTAATTGCTGAGGTTCATTGGAGAGTAAAGTACTGAGTCCTGGCTTGAACTTTGAGAGAATTGGTCTTCATCAACAACAAAATTACTCTTTGAGTCAAAGCTCAAAATTGGAGATTTATCATCTCCAAATTCTTTCTCAAGGTTTACTTTAGACTTATCGCTAGGCTTATTTGTGTCATATTTCATGAATTCAGAGTGCAAAGAAATGCTGCCTTCCCTATTAGATGCGCTAAACAAGCTCAGGTCACTGAATATCAGGTTCTTGGCAGCGCCAAGAACATCTTCAGCATACTCCTGCTTTTCTTTATCCATCCGAATTCTGGATTGATCACTAATCTTCTGGTCTGGAAGCTCAGCGAAGTTACAGATATTGAAGAAAACTTGATCTTTATAGTTCTCCTTTGTGAAATCAGGAATGATTAATGTGTCGTTATTTGGATCTTTATCTTCATAAAAGTTCCTTGGGTTCAGAGTCTCCTTACTAACATCGACTTCTTTTGGAAAGCTCTGCCTTCCAGTGAGATCCAGCACCTTACTGTCATTGGTGATAGTTGGTACATGATTAAACATGTTCCTACTTTCTTCGTTGAACATAATATTTGGATGAAAATTCTCCCTTGAAGAGGTCCTTTCGTGAGTATTTACATCAATATTGACTCCGAAAGATCCTTTCATATGCTTATGCAAGTTTTGGGATCTAAACATGAAGAAAAATCTTACTTTTGCTCCTCATTAGAAAGATCCCGAAGATGTAGGGGTTCTTTCCTTGTGTTGTACTTCTTCATATCAAGATTTTCCAGAGGTCTAAAGACTTCATATATAGCAGGATCATGTTGGTTCAACAATCAAGGGCTCATCTCAACCTCTTTGGATCTATCTATTTGATTTGGAGAGCATAAGTTCTTGTGTCTATCTTCATAAATCAATTTAGTATTAGGAACAGCTCCTCTCTTAACGAATAAGTTATTCTTCAGATTCATTTTAGGCCTGGCAGCATTTGAATCTGGTGTTACAAAGCTTATCTCTTCATTACTATTCATTGAGATAGATATACCGCCATCCACTTGGGCACCAAGTAAAATGTCATGTTTTGGCGCAATTTCTGGCCCGCTTTTCCGCACTATTTAAATTTAGAGTTGACTTCACAGAAAATTCCATTAAAATTCTTCACAAATCCAAACAAAGGTTTTACTGGCTGAATAAGCTTACCTTTGCTGATATTATCAGATACAGTTCAGGAGTACGAGAACAAGCTGGCATTCTCATTCTGGGTAATTTCTGAAAGGTCTTTATCCATTTAAATTCAATATATTTATTGATCATAGGGGTTTTGGGGTTTTGGGGTTTTGGGG